ATCAACATTTTAATTAAAAATTTTATGGAATTGTCCTTTATTTAGAAGATCTTCAATTTTAAAACTGCTATCATTGAGATTCAGGAAAACCGGTGATGATCTATCTAATATAATACTATTAATAATATTAAAAAAACCTAGATTAATTCAATAAAAACTAAAGATATCTATATCTATATCTACACTGAAAAAATAATAATTGTATGCATAAATAAGATTAATAAATCCTAATAAGGATTAATTATGATTGATGGAGAAGATTTGATTTTTATTAATTGGGAGAAAATATTGTCAAGATTAATAGAGAAGAGAAGATTAGTAGAAAGAGAGAACAAATAAAAACGTCAGATTTTTTCTTAAATGCTTGGAAAATATTTCAATCAATAATTATTTTTTTGGCTTAATTGAGATAGTTTTACTTCTAATTCTTTAAGTTTGTTATCATGTTCAAGTCTTAATTGTTGTCTTTCAAATTGCAATTGGCATATTTCCAATTCAATTCTGTTTTTTTGTATTTCATATTCTTTATTCAAGTTTTCATTTTCAAATTTCAAACTTTCTTCCCACATTCTTTCTCTGTACATTACTGATTCTTTGATAGCATCTGCAATTATACATGCAGAAGAAATTCCAATTCTTCTTTTTTTACTGATACAATTTCTATTTTCAACTGCACCATTATCAATTGCGTTGTTTTCTTGATCATTGACAAGAGGATTAATAATATTATTTGCATTATTGTGATTATTATTAAACCTTTTAAATTTTACATAATCATCTTCCATAAAATAACCAGCTTTTATAAAATTATTATTATTTATCTTATGGTTACCAATTATTACTTCATGTGATTCTACTTCACTAACATCAGTTGGTTTATTATTTTTGCTTTTCACAAGTCTTTTGGATTTAAGTCTTTCATTATAATAATTGATTTCAGATGATCTATCACTATCATGATCATTAGCATCATTGGAATCTTCTTTAATGATATCATCAATAATTCTGTACCATTTCCAGTTATATTTAGCCGAATTGCTTTTAACTTCCTCATATTTATCCAACAATTGATTAAGTTTACTTTGAATTGCACCTTTTGATCTTGATGTAAAATATTTACTGGCCATCTTTTCATAAAATTTTTTACTGTTCTTTTGGTATAATGCATAATCCTCCTTAAAATGATTAAGAAAAATAGAAACCTCTTCATCATCCCAGAGTCTTCTTGATTTATTAATGCCATTCTCATTTAAACCTGATTTTGTAGCTGTTATAGTGGTTCTTGCTGATGTATACTTTACACTTGGTGATATATTTCTGGGATTATCATAATTATCATCATCATCGCCATAACCTAAATCTTGATTGCTTTCATTCATAGACTAAAACATAAATATTTATATATTATATATTTATTTTTTCAATAAAAAGTTTTTTAAATAATATAATCAATTACATCAATATTGCTACTTACACTTTTGTCTTCTTCCTTGTCATTAGTATTATCAGGCTGAAAATTGGATTCTGAAGAGGGTCTAAAGTTGTTGAAAGCATTTATTTCAGAGACCGGGATTCTTTCAACCTCTGACATTGAAACAAAATCGACTGCACTCTTCTTGGATTCTGATTCCATTACAGCATGTAAAAGTTGTGATAAATAGTTATGATCCATGTCAGGTATACCAGTTTCTAAGTTATGAAAATCATGTGACTCCTGGGTAATAGTATTGTCTAGATTGTTATTTGTATCAAATAAATTGTACATTATAGAATCATTGACGAAAGTTTGAATGTCATTCATTTCAGGCATTGAATTGTTTTTTTGCTCCATCTTTTTTTTTTTGCTCAATAAATTTCAGGGGTAAACTTGTTAAACAATACTGTATATATTTAGTTTTGTCATGACTAGATGATCATTAAACGATTTTTTTAATCAGAAATAAGAAAATTATTTTTTACTCAATGATGTCAAATGCAAAAGGAATGGCAAGAATACCTATAAGATCAATAATGAGATTGCCAAATTCAATAAAGGGAAATAGTAGATTTGATAAATTAATAGAAAAAAAAATTTTTTATTCAAATTATGAAAAATTGGGAAGAAAAAGTGAAGACAAACAAAAAATCAATAAAAATAAAATTATATCTATTAATAATAATTTTGCTGGTATATATAATTCATTAATTAATTGAATAAGATAGCATTTATTTATAAAAAGAATGATAATAACAACAATAAATAACTAGATATTAAAGATAAATTGCCAACAATTCAACAAAAAATCAAACAACCTCATATACTTAAAGTTACAATAATAGGAACAGCCAATTCAGGAAAATCTGCTTTGATAATTGGTGATAATGTAAATATTATCATAGTGATAATTGATGTTTGATGATATATTATATAAATTATATTTAGATTTTTTTAGATACTCCCAGGTGTAATATTGACAACAAGATCAACATAAACATCACCATTAACCAAATATAAACAAAGATATAATTGTGAATTGATTAATTCTTCATGGAATACAATAGATGAAGTTGATTGTGGTAATTATATATAGTATGGTGATATGATTATATTATAATTTTATAATGATATTAGTGATTCATACATTAAAAATAACTGAATACAGTATTATAGTGAACAATTTATTATTGAGAAATTAAAAACTATGAAAAAACCAATTATTTTAATATTTAGCAAGGTAAAATAATATTTAGGAATGTTATATATTATATATTTACTTGTATATTTAAATATTTTTCTTATAGATTGATTGAAAAAAATTCAGAAATAAGAATTTAGAACTCTTAACCAAATACCCATTTCTACAAAACTGTCCAACTATTTCAATATCTGCTTTATGTAATATTAAGTTAAATATGTTAAAAGTAAGTAATCAATATTTCTTTTTATATTTGGGGCATACTGCAACAAAACCAGACAAAGTGAACATTGGTATTTCCAGTATTTCAGGGATCAAAATTTAGTCATTTGAAATGTGATTATAATTACCAGTTTTATAATATCCTATTTGTTATCCTCTTAATATCAGGTGATATATAGAATCACCTCTATATAAAATAGTTAATATGAACTCATTTACATTAGGTCTACTATGGAACCCAAGAATTACAGCATTATTAGAAGTATTTTAAGGAAAGAGCAAGGAGAAAAAATTGCACCTTATGAATAATACCAAGTTCTTTGGGAATGTCTAGATAAAGAAAAAATCACTTATGAAATTTATCAAGAAGTCAGATAACTAAATTTGCTTCTTATTCTCCAGCTTATTGAGCTGTCAAATCAAGTCTGTATTTAAGAGGAGGCTAACCAATATTTCTAACAATTTTTGAAAAAAAAATTTTTTTTTGTACCTAATACTAATGGATGTAAAGATAACTTTATTAAAGAAATTAGCCATTTGCATAGTTCCACCAGTGGTTAGATGCAATTACTTTATGAACATTTCCATTTTTATGTCATTAAGCAGCAAATGCATAAACTAGATGTCTTAGTAAAAATGTTGTGCTTCAGTAGGGAGAGATTCAGTATGGTATAACTCTTGCAGAACATATGGTATGGTATGGTATAGCCCATATTTTTCCATACCAAGTCACGCAAAATTTTATTCTAAATCCTTTTTTTTGGTGGGTGTGAAGGGAAGTATGTTTGATTTAAGCATTGGTATACAACCTTTTTATTACACTTATACAATACCATACTGTATGTTTTGCAAGAGTTATACCATACTGAATGCCCATATACTCGTAGTGCTTTGAACTAGAAACTAAAGAGGTTGAATCATTTAACATTTCTGTCAGTTGTCAATAAGATGTCACTGAGATACACAACTCAGTGTACAAATCTGTACTTCCACACAACCAAACCTTGTCCCAGATACTATTAATACATATTTCCACACTGGAAAAGTCCTGTGAACATACAACATAAATGACACCTGATTTCAGGTTGTGGGGTCTACCTATACCACTTCTAATATCCACAATTGCATGACGCTTAACACATTTCAGAATTGAACCATATAGCCCATCATCCTTCATCTTCCTTTGATGATTTTCCAGATCTTCACCATCTCAAACTAGCTCTATCATCCAATCATGTTTACCATCAACATAAAAGTCCACCCAGCCCTCTGAAGCAAAAACAGCACCAACATCTGGAGAGATATGTACATTTTTTGGAAGCAGTTGTCTTGCTGCATGGTAAAACTCCATTTGCCATGCCCTCTCCAGCAGTTGACCATCATTACCCACACAAAGGGTTTTCTTGAAAGTCTCTGGGCTCATTAATTCAAACACCTTCTTGATAAAATCTTCAAAAGGATATGGTAAAGTGTGTACATGGGTTCTAGATCCAAGATGTTCCTGAAGATAAGCTACATGGACTAGTGGTGATGTGAAGTCAAGTTTCCTGTTTCTCAAATAATATTCTTGATGGAAGTCTGAAAGAACATTTGTTTTGATCAGATGGTCTGCAACTGCACTGTGAATGTCAATACCACCAGGTTGGATCAAGACTTTGTCAATAAGTTGTCATTCTTCTTCAGATGTCACTATGACTTCTTGACATGCATGTGTTCACTACAATAATAATGGAGTTAAGATCTCTATAATCACAAACTATTAATTTTCAATCATTGCTCACCTTAACACCTTGATAGCAATCATCTGTTTGAAAAAATTTGAATATTTTCTCAAATGTCAATGGTTCCACACCCTGCTTTAGCTGCTGTTGAAATTGTAAAACAATATCATCCAGGACAAAAGAAACAAGCCCAGGATGGCACTTGGTTTCTTCTTTCACATAGTTGGCAAGTCAAGGGACATCTCCTTCAGGAAGCAGTTTCAGATTGGAGTGACAAAAAAATCAAAGAAATTTGCATACTCTTGTTCAGAATACTGAACATCTTCAAAATTCCAAGTATTAATTTCATCTAAGTCAAAAGGAGATATAGTTTTAAGATGGCCTGGTCCACTATATGCTCCCCAATATCCATAGGATGCAAAAGCAACAATGTGGAGACCACCACCCTGTAGAACTCTCTTGACAGTGTCCCAAAACTTGTCACCACCAAATAGACAGGCTGATGCACCTTCTGGTTTGTATAACACCTGAATTTCATCTATGATCAGTATTGTTTGTACTTTGTCACACTCACAGACAAAGGTATCTCATGACAAGCCTCCCATATAATCCTTGAATTGCTGTGCAAAATCCCAGCCTGATCCCTCCCTCCTCAATCATACAAGTGACATCCAAAATATACATAGTTCATTATGTGTATTGAGTAAATAGTTCTCATAGAGTTGTGCAAGTGATGTCTTTCCAGACATTGGGGGTGAGCACACAAGCAAAAATCTTGCATTCTGAAGGTGACTGTGTAACTTTGTTACAGTTGCCAGCCTCTTGCAAGTCAAGTTACTATTCCCATCAACACCTTCAAAGTTTGTAAATGCTTCCTCCCAATAAGTTGTGCCACCAATTCCTCCTATGAGAGATAGTTTAGATGGAATGATTTACCTAATCTTGGGTATAACCAAACTGTTCCCTTAATCTCTGTATGCAGCCTGGATCAGAGGGAGACACTGAGCCTAATGCAGGAATAATATAACAAGAGTAAGTAAATAACTAAGTTTAGAGAATGGAAAATTTGAAACTTGCCTTATTAAGTAAAATAGATAGGAGGCAATAGTTGTTTTTTTTTAAAAAAAAAAAACCAATAAGTTATTGATAAAGCAAAAAATAAATTAAAAAGCAAATGTTGTCAAAATCACAAAAAGGATTAAAAATGGAACAATGACAGAAGAAATCTTATAGTGATCAAAAAACAGAGAATTAATGTTACATTACTTCCAACTACTCCAACTACTTCATCATGCAAACAATACAATAAATTAAAAGAAATAAATGATATATGTTAACTTCTTATCAAAATGACTTTCCTTATATTGAGTATCAAACATTCTCTCATATGATGTTTCACTTACCAGATTCTTTTATATATATATATATATAAATAAAAAGAGAAAATAAATGAATGCATACATGATTAATAATAATGTATAAGATATGTGAAACTAAAGAAAAAAAATCAATACTTTTTAAAAGTCACATTTCTTCTATTTTCATGATCACCAATGCAGGAATGCCTTTTTCTTCTAAAGATTTTATGTCAAACACCTTACAATCCTTTAATCTGCGAATCCAATGTTGATTAAATATTTTAAGTACTTTATCTGCTTCTTCTTGAGTAGCATTGCCGTTACTTATAAAAGAATCCAAGAAAGTTTCGATTTTTGTATTTTCATCCATGGTTATTATTATAAACAAGAAAAATAACAGTCACAGGACATGTCACGCAGATCAATAGGGAGCTTTAAAACATAGTAATAGTAATAGTAAAATTTTACAATCAAGTGACTTCTAATCCCCATTTAATACCCTTGCTGTGTAGCAACCACTGCCAAATTTGAGATATAACTTCTTTATCATATTTATCTGCTTTAAGAAAATTTTTAAAGCAGGTTGTTAATAAAACTGAAAATAATCTGACCCTCAAAGTCAAATTTTGTTTGACGCGTCCAATCGCAAGTATAAGTAGAATAAATGTCCAAATATTACATTATCATGAATATTTATAGATTTTTGATCATTTAGGTATGTCTTTTACAGTAAAATCATTTATTTTAAAAGTAATATAATAAATAAATAGACACTAAAGTTTTTCTTTACCTACGGTATATACATAAATAATAATTATAATAGTAAATAATGATTAAATTAAAAGATGTTTTATCTCTGACTTTATTCATTTAATTATTTGTCATAGTGATGTTATTAAATATAAGTTAAAATAAAAGAAATTTATATACATAAATAAATAACTATTGAATAATTAATACATTTTTAATAGGTTGAAATTTTGAAATGTGTGATCTTTGTGATCTTTTGACAGTTGATATAAAACAACTAGGTAAATAATATATAGAAGTTTGAATGATTGTTAATTGGTACACTTGTATCCACTTAGTGTTCCATGTTGCAACCCAAAAAAAGAAGAAAAATGGTCATAAAGGTGGTTGCAACCAGCGGTTTCAATCATTTTTATATGATGCAAAGGTGGTAGCAACCATCATCGAAAGTTGCAGCTGGTATCCTTATACCCACTTTAATTGATGGGACTGGTTAGAGTATTTTAAAAAATATAAATAATTCGTGTAACATTTATATGATATTCACCATGCTCCTATAGAGCCAATCGGAATTATCGTTATTAAAAACAATATTAATATTCTTTACATAAAGTAACTATAGCTATTTGATTTATTTCATTTAATATGGAAATAAAAAAATTTTACTTATTGTTTCCACATTTTCATTTCCAATACAGCAATATCACCAACAACAATTTCAAACATCATAAATTTCAAAATGACTTACTTTAACTTTCAAGATTATCCTATGTCTTTTGGAATTGTCATGAAATTGAAAATGGACGGGAATTACACTTTTACAAAAAAGAATGGCAACCCTTGTGGAATGAAAGGTTCAACAACAAATACACTTTTTCAAATGAACATAATTTGGTGAGACCAAAGGGTATATATTATAAAATTTGTGATTTTTATTTTTGCAGAAAATTCCAATAATCCACACACACATTGTATATATTAAATTAAATATTTTTAATTGATAGTGGTAAATAATGAATCTAAAAAGAACATGCCTCCATTTCACTTACTGTAAATCAACCAAACAATCCACAAAAAAAAATTGTTTGAATTCATGATTAATAATGTTCAACCATTCTCATCAGTTAAAAGTGAAACATTTAAAAGTGTTCTTGCATCACTTGATGGTAATTTTAGCATGTACTATAAAGAAATGATATCAGCAGCATCAATAGTATAAATATTAAATAAATTAAATCAAGAGTTATTAGATAGTTGTGAATTCTGTAACAACTGATTTTTGGACATCACACAACAATAAAGGATACATTGGAATGAAATTATAAAATGGGATTTAGAAAATTATTGAGGTCGCTGGTAATAGTATGGTAAACTCTATCAAATTATTAAATGAATTATTAGATATTAAAAGGATTGCATGTGCTGTGCACACAACCCAAAAGACTTGAAAATAAGTTGAATTATACTCAAATTCTTAAGCTAGTTCTTGATGTTAAAACAAGGTGGAATTCTGCCTATATGGCATGGAAACATTTAATTAATTTAAAATGCTATTTTAATTTAATTAAAGATATGCAAATAGATGATGACAGATATGGCTTTAAAAGATTAAAAAAAATATTACTGAGTGATAATGAATGGTCCTTAATTAAAAGACATTAAGTGAAAATAGTTATGTTACCTCTTATCTTTAGTAATGATACCAGTAGACAAAAAGATAAAGCTGAAAGGTATTCTGATCTTGAAATTGCATTGATGATATGGTTCAATCAAGCACTTTTAGATAAAAGAGTAATCACAGGCAATGTATTTATGCAAGATCAACAGCTGAAGATAAATTATTGATTGTTAAACAAAAAATTAGTATATACAAAAGTAGTATTAGAATCTTTAGAAACTGTCTTTCTAATATTCAAGATCCACCTGAAAATCTTGCTTTTGAATTTAAACACATTAATTATCTATTATAACTTTATGAAATCATCTATTTGTTTTCTTTTTTATGTATTTTATAATAAAGTTGTAAAATATTGGCAATCTTTTTATACAATGAATCACATATATTAATATGAATTTTTTGTCAAAACCAACTATTTTTTTATCACCGACTTCCTATTTCCGACATCCGACACCCGACATCCGACAATTGCAATTTTTTGACGATGATGCATATAAACTTTCCCGATTTAGTTCCTAGAGTAACACTTCACCAAAACAAAATAATACTCGAGATTTCATCTATTTGTTCATAAATAAAAACCGGGCTATTACCTGTGTGGTTTGCCTAAAACTTCTTTAAAGCTTCCACTTTGGCAGTCATTAATATTAAATTGACCAATAAGAAGGCAAAATAGATGTAAATCCAGTTTAAGGGATAATATTTACTAAATTCATTTGTGAAACTAGCAATCATACAACCCTTTCTCCCAAACGGTCGTGTGACTTACCGCACAAATTCTTTATTAAGTTTTCAATAGAGCCCAAATTTGGCTAACGTTGGGAAAAATATTTTTGCAAAAAAAAATCTTTGACTAAAAGTCTTTGACAATCAAAAATGTAATCCCCCACTTTGCGGGACGAGACGGAAGGAGAAAAAAAAAGAAGGTAAAAAAATATAGAATATATATATGTATTTCTCCGGGAATTGTGAGAGGTCACGCAAAAACAATTGGGTTGCAAGGATTTCTGGGCGGTCGAATTTTTTAGTAGGAAAACTCTTAGTTGAGGTCCCAGACGATTTCGTTCAAGGGTTTTTACAAAAAAGTCTAAAACAAGCCTTTTCGATTGGGAATTTTTAATTATGATGTTACCGTAGATCTTTTCTTAACTTGATAATGAATAAATATTTTCCAATTTATTCGAAAAATTCTTTTTTTAAATCTTTTTTTATATTATAAGTAGAATTTGATCTGCACTGTGCCCCAATTTAAAAATAACAACATATCATCATCATCTTGTATTTAATTAAGTCATTCTATTTTCTATATACAAAAAAATCAATAAGAATATTTTTCGCGTGGTTATTCGTGCTTTGTATAATTTTATTGGTTTATTGGTTTATTGGGTTTTGAAAGAAAGTGTTATTATCTATTTCTGCCTAATATTAAATTGTGCTACTATTTTAAAATGACAATTATTCTTCCACATGTTCTAATATTTATGAATGATTATAATACTTTTCAAAATAGAATGAAACTAGAGGCAGAATTTAGAAGCTAGAGTTTAAAAAAAATAAATCTTTTTTTATCGAAAATAAGGCTTCATTATTCTGGTCAGCTTTAAATTATCTTAATAAATTTACTGCTGCTTATGTTTAATAACTGATATTACGTTTGGCAATTCCATTATTTTTTCTATAAAATTGTTTTTAGTAAAATATTCGAATATTTGATCGAAATTCATGGTTCAATTTCACTGAATTATTCGTTCGCCCTTTTTAAACCATACAATAATCATTTTTTCCGTTCTTCGACATTTTCAACATCATTTCTTGTTGAATGATTGTCATATGATATAGACGTTGTTATTACACATTCTATAAATGGTAATGTTTGTATCAATTTTGCTTTAATCTAAGGCGTAGCTAACAGTTTACACTTTCTATAGCGGATCATTTGGCTTAGGAAAAATGTCCGTCATAGAGAGAATCCGTTATGGACAGTAATGATTACGATTTATAAGTTTCGATACAACGTTTGGGCCTTTCCAAGTTGTATGATTATAGAACACAAAAGCTAAAAAGGTATTTATTATATTTTCGAATTTTTTGAAATTCATCATGTATGGCTGCAATAGAATTTACACAAATAGAATATATGAAATATGCCGAATAAACAAAATCTCAATATTTAACAATAAAATTTAACTAATTCTTATCTAATCTATTAAATATTTATCCCACCGACCAAAACTGTTAAATTCGAGCATATGATATTTTGATTATACTTTTTTAAACTTGTTATGGTAGAGTAATAGCGAAGGCTTGTTTCCAATCTATCAAAACTAAAAATAGATAACCTACAACTCCATCTTATTTGTTACACCAAGTTTAATATTAAAAAAGAAATTTGCAATCATCTGATAAAGTAATAACTTAAGAAAATTTAAAAGCATTTTTCATCAATATCAACTGACAAACTAAAGCAGAAAATTATTATATTTGGTTGGTAATGTTCTAAAAATGACCTTTGAACCAAAGATATTCCCATTTCCAACCTAATGCATTATTTATATCAAATAGATAAGATGTATTACTATTTTGTTAAGTTTAGATGATTTATTTATAACCACTAGTTTTGTATATATATATATAATTTTTAATGGATCCAAATTTGAGCATCACAGATGAATTTTGTATCATAAGATATTCTCATACAACCCAACCAGTGTTGTTTACTATTTTTATTTCTGTTACACTATTTATAAAGAGTAAAAGTTATCTAAAATACTAAAACAACAAATTCTTATTATTATAACATTCCAGAGAGTGTGTTAACCAATAAGTTTTATAATTTACGACTCTATCTTCAAGACTTATTGGTTATATTTTTTTGGGGTTAAAAACTGGTCGAGCCTTAGCATTGTCTAAAAAAAATTTGGGCTAATTAAATTTCGTATAAC